GTATGTATGTATGTATGTATGTATGTATGTATGTATGTATGTATGTATGTATGTATGTATGTATGTATGTATGTATGTATGTATGTATGTATGTATGTATGTATGTATGTATGTATGTATGTATGTATGTATGTATGTATGTATGTATGTATGTATGTATGTATGTATGTATGTATGTATGTATGTATGTATGTATGTATGTATGTATGTATGTATGTATGTATGTATGTATGTATGTATGTATGTATGTATGTATGTATGTATGTATGTATGTATGTATGTATGTATGTATGTATGTATGTATGTATGTATGTATGTATGTATGTATGTATGTATGTATGTATGTATGTATGTATGTATGTATGTATGTATGTATGTATGTATGTATGTATGTATGTATGTATGTATGTATGTATGTATGTATGTATGTATGTATGTATGTATGTATGTATGTATGTATGTATGTATGTATGTATGTATGTATGTATGTATGTATGTATGTATGTATGTATGTATGTATGTATGTATGTATGTATGTATGTATGTATGTATGTATGTATGTATGTATGTATGTATGTATGTATGTATGTATGTATGTATGTATGTATGTATGTATGTATGTATGTATGTATGTATGTATGTATGTATGTATGTATGTATGTATGTATGTATGTATGTATGTATGTATGTATGTATGTATGTATGTATGTATGTATGTATGTATGTATGTATGTATGTATGTATGTATGTATGTATGTATGTATGTATGTATGTATGTATGTATGTATGTATGTATGTATGTATGTATGTATGTATGTATGTATGTATGTATGTATGTATGTATGTATGTATGTATGTATGTATGTATGTATGTATGTATGTATGTATGTATGTATGTATGTATGTATGTATGTATGTATGTATGTATGTATGTATGTATGTATGTATGTATGTATGTATGTATGTATGTATGTATGTATGTATGTATGTATGTATGTATGTATGTATGTATGTATGTATGTATGTATGTATGTATGTATGTATGTATGTATGTATGTATGTATGTATGTATGTATGTATGTATGTATGTATGTATGTATGTATGTATGTATGTATGTATGTATGTATGTATGTATGTATGTATGTATGTATGTATGTATGTATGTATGTATGTATGTATGTATGTATGTATGTATGTATGTATGTATGTATGTATGTATGTATGTATGTATGTATGTATGTATGTATGTATGTATGTATGTATGTATGTATGTATGTATGTATGTATGTATGTATGTATGTATGTATGTATGTATGTATGTATGTATGTATGTATGTATGTATGTATGTATGTATGTATGTATGTATGTATGTATGTATGTATGTATGTATGTATGTATGTATGTATGTATGTATGTATGTATGTATGTATGTATGTATGTATGTATGTATGTATGTATGTATGTATGTATGTATGTATGTATGTATGTATGTATGTATGTATGTATGTATGTATGTATGTATGTATGTATGTATGTATGTATGTATGTATGTATGTATGTATGTATGTATGTATGTATGTATGTATGTATGTATGTATGTATGTATGTATGTATGTATGTATGTATGTATGTATGTATGTATGTATGTATGTATGTATGTATGTATGTATGTATGTATGTATGTATGTATGTATGTATGTATGTATGTATGTATGTATGTATGTATGTATGTATGTATGTATGTATGTATGTATGTATGTATGTATGTATGTATGTATGTATGTATGTATGTATGTATGTATGTATGTATGTATGTATGTATGTATGTATGTATGTATGTATGTATGTATGTATGTATGTATGTATGTATGTATGTATGTATGTATGTATGTATGTATGTATGTATGTATGTATGTATGTATGTATGTATGTATGTATGTATGTATGTATGTATGTATGTATGTATGTATGTATGTATGTATGTATGTATGTATGTATGTATGTATGTATGTATGTATGTATGTATGTATGTATGTATGTATGTATGTATGTATGTATGTATGTATGTATGTATGTATGTATGTATGTATGTATGTATGTATGTATGTATGTATGTATGTATGTATGTATGTATGTCTGTCTGTAGACAAAAAAGTTTGCTCGACGATAACTCGAACAAATTTTAATGAATCGACTTCAAATTTGGTATACACTTTAAGTGTACCAAAATCTCGCTTGAGTTCGTTGGCCAGATGATTTCGTTGAAAAACAACAAAATTATTCAAATTTGTAGTTTTTAAAAATTTCCAATCGTCGCATTTTTAAAAAAAAAATTTTTTCAATTTTTTTTCGAAAATTGCGAGTAAAAATAAACACTTTTTTCCTTTGATAATTTTCAATAGCTATTAAAACAAAAAAGTTATATCACTTTTCTTAAAAAAAGGACAAAATCGGATGAAAAATGGGTAAAATGCAGAGCAAAATTACTTCATTTTGAAAAACTATGTTCATCTATGTATTATTTCTGTTTAAACCACCTTAAATTAACACAAATAACAGTGACTTACTCATAAAGCTCCGATTCTTTTTTTTTTATAAGTCCAACTATTGTTTTCCATTTCCAAACATTGCTATTGTTTTCAAAAAATCCTCTATTTTAGAATACTTTATATTGCGCTGTTTATACTATAATTTCGTATTTTTTCGATTATTTACTTTTGAATTAGTTAAAATTCATGTATTTGTAGATTTGTAAACTTTTTTTTCTTTAACACTTTCCGATACAGATTAAAACAAAAAAGTTAAAAAAGTTATGTTCTATAAAGATTAAGGTAACAAAAATTTTAAAATATTTTCGATGTGTTATTTTACTCATTAATTTTTTGTGGACCAGTTTTAACCTATTTTGCCACCTTTTCTTTTAGCAACTTTCCTCTCTAGATTTAAAGTTTTTGAAGCAGTATTCCTAAAACATTTTTTTCACTATAACGAAAGCATTGTGAAGTGAAACAAAAATAATAAGTGTAGCAGGCGAAATTATAAAGAATTATAAATTAACTAAGTATAAACATTGCTATTTTTTAAGAGAAAATTCATTTTTCAACAATCTTTTTAACAAATTTAAATAAATCTTTCTACTCCTTGGTTTTTTAGGTCGCTCATTACGATTCTGAAGTCAATTTTTAAAAATTCAAAATGGCGTATTGAAACATTTTTGACGCGAGATTTTTAGCATTTAAAGGTATTCTAAAGGGATAAGATTTGAAAAAATTATAAAAACTGAACAAAATTTCTAAAAAAATCTTTTTTTTAATGCTTGTAAATTGTTTATTTAAAATTTTTCGGTTCTTTTAGTACACTATTTGATAGAGCCTCAACGTACCTGTAAAAATTTCGTTAATGGGTTAATGCACGCCTCCTTTTCCTATTGTATCTTTCTAATTTTCGAGCGTGAAACGCGAGTGCCGTGATGAGAATGTTATCCTTAAAGTCAAAGTACTTTAAGAAGATGAAATTTAATTTATAAAAACCAAAAATTTCACTTATATAAATTGTACAAAAAAATTTTTATGAATATGAATAAAAACATGAGAGCGAAACCTCATATAATAAATTTGTTGCTTTAAAAAATGTATTTACTTTAAAGTTCTTTTTTTAGTGTTTTTAAATTTTCAATTAATTTTTTCTTTTACTCAATTGAAATTAGCTCAAAGCGGAATATCTTATTTAAGGTAAATAATTTGGTTTGTCGATTTTCGTTAACTACAAAGACCTGGCCAATCCACGGCGCAATATTAATGAACTAAGTTTGAACAGCTACAGTGCCGTCATTCTCTTTTTTTTGCCCGATAAAAAATTTATTCTAATACCTTTAAACCTTACCTATTTCTATAATTTAATTTAACGTATTTTAATAAAGACTATGAGTTGTTTCTAATAAATTTTTCAAAACAAGTCGATTATATGATGATCCCCTTTTAAAATAACTACTTTTTTATTTATTTTAACTCTGTGTGTAATTAATTTTACTCTTTTTAATAAAATTAATAAAGATAATTTCTTTCTTCTTGACATTTTACTTCAAAATTAATTAAATCAACCACAAAGTCTGAAACAACTACAAAATCTCATTCTACCAAATAGATTCTTGGGTCATTCAACTGCTTTCTGGTAGTATAATTAATACAATTTTTAAATTTAATAGGAAAATTTTTGTATTACAGAGTGTAGTTAAAAAGTAATTAATGCTAATAAGTTTTGAATTGTAATAAACAAACAAAGCGCGTAATAATATCGGACCGCGAAGCGGGACGATCATCCTTCGCGCGCCCCGGGGCGCGCTCAAACTAGCGAGCGAAGCGAGCCCCTACGCGCGAAGCGCGTGATGAGAATGTGGCCGCCCCCGCAGGGGGCTGCCAGATTTTTTTTGAAAGTTTTAAAAGCAGTTCTAAAACATTTTTACTTGAAATTGAGTGAAAAGTGAAACATATTTTCCCCGTATTAACAAACAATCACTATTTCATTTTGTAAAATGCAAGCCAACAAATTTGACACAAAAAAATTTTTTAAAAACTTTAAAGTCAATTTTAATCAGAAAAACAATTCTTAAACTTCATATTTATTTTATACTATTTTTTCTGGAAAGTTTTAAAGAATATAAATTTTTTTTTATTTTACTAAAGGGTATTTCTTAAGAAAAATGGTATAAAAATTTCGGAATTTATTTATGTAAGCCTAAAAAAATTAAAGAGTGTTTGTTTTAAGATAATTCAGTTTTTTATAAAATATTAAAAACGTTATATTGTAATTATTCTGAAAAATAATATTTGATATTTTGGACATTATTATCGTTTTTTTTTATTTTTCAAATTTGAGTGACCAATCTGAAATATGTTTTTTTCAAAATATTCCATGGGATATATTATAAAGATGTCTAATTATCAAAATTTTTAGCATCAATCAAACTTGTTTACAAATTTAAATGTTTGTTTTTCTCACCTCGACAAACTCTCCTTGACATTGAAGTAGAATAAGATACATCAAAATTGTATTAAACACGATAATTCAATCCAATTGAAGAAGGCGAAACTCCAGTTTATAAGACAAACTGTTAAAAAGTATTTTCATGTATTTAATAAAAACATTTCTAAATTTAATCCTATAATAATAGAATATATCAAGCATGGCAAACTAATGTATAATGAAATATAAAATACTATAAAACTTCAAGTCAAGATTTCACAAACAAACTAGTCAACACAAAAGAAAATAATCGAAATTTTACAAGTGAAGATACCCATATGTTAGTTCTGCAAAATTTTTCATGACACAATAAAATTAATATTTTTATAAAAAATAAAATTTACATCTTATTCGTTTGATGAAATAATTTTTGGAGATGAACCATATTATTTGGTTGAGGCGATAATTAAAATACGTAATTACTTACATTTTAGTTTGTTACCTGTTTTTATACATGTTCAAAAATAGAGATTTTATACTTTTTACGCCAAAAGGTACATGTTTTATAGTAATTATACAAAACGATACGTTTGGTGACTTTTGCGTCGTAAATAGTATATGGTTTTCCACCAAGCAATAAAATTTATGTATGTACAAGATTCATGCATTTTTTTATCATCTACATAAGTCATTGATGTCTGCAGTTGATGACAAAGAACTATTAATATTTTACGTGATGATTTTCTTTCACTATTTCTTCGTCATTTCTCACTTACAAAACGTTATATATTAATAAAAGCGTCATGTCGACGATAAATACGTCTCAGACGTCCTGCACGTGTTGTTGTTTGTTTAGCTTATGATTCCTTTTTTTATTTTCATTGCTGCCAAAATGATAAAATACTGATTTCCCTTAATTCAAATTATAGCGAATCAAAAAACAGTTTTAAAAGGAAAGTGGACCCTGATTGGTAAAAGGCTGTGTACTGGCAACTACTGTCAGCCGCTGAGCTTATGTAGGATCAATTGGCTCGTCTCATACCGGATTCATTTTATAAAAATCGTGAAACTGACACAAAAATGGGTCTTTATTCAACGACGGCAGAATTGCCAAGGAATGAATTTAATAAAATCATGCGAATTTTGGCCGACAAAATGAATAGAGCAAATTGAACTTCTAAGCAGGACGTTACACTAATGACTTCATTGGTGATCGAAAAGTTTCCTGAGTTAAAAGAAAAAGTCTTAAATCTAGTTGTAAGTAAACTTATTTTTTTGAAGATTTGTATAATAGTTATTTAGCGTATGAATAAAATTGAACAATTTTTTGTTCTTGCAAATTTATTGAACTCTTTAAAGCATAGCTCAATAAAAGCATAGCTAACAACTTTTCAAATAATTAGTCGTTTTGAAAATATGAATCATTTTAGGTGAATCTAAATTCTATGATTGCATGGATTCTAATTTGCAAGTGAAACATGTTGAACTTTATAATATAATTGAAATTATCTAAACGAATAAATATTTTTTAATTTTATTAATTTATTTTTAAAAGGGAGATTCAAAGTTACATTCTAAGTTTCATACCGGTTTTTCATTATTTATAAGAAATATTTCTTTTTAAATAATTACATTTTAGGACAGAATGAATATAGCATTGATCAATTGCATTAAGAACAAACGAGCTCGTGGTTCCAAATCCACATCCAGAAATAATGATGATGATCCCAATGATGATGATCATCATGATCATGATGATCACCATCATCCCTCCATTAAGGTTAAAACGATTCAAGGGAATGAAAAGAACATTATGAGTGAAATAATTGAAGAATATTCAAATTTAGAGAAAGATACGAGAAAATTAAAAGATTTATTGAAGAAGACACGTGCAACAAGAGTAAAAGAATTTAAAAAATTGTCGGTCAAAGAATTACTCTAAAAATATCCACCTTTAAATGATCCTGATTTGGTGAGATTAATACTCAAAATTTTAAATTTTCACTGTAATTTAACTAATCTTTATTTCTAATTTTTTTTAACTTTAAATGTAATTTTGAATTAGAATTCGATTGCAAGTTTGTATAGTTTCTAAAGTTGGTTTCTCTAAATTGAAACAAATTTTATTTCTAATAGAAAACAAATATTTGTTTTAATAATTTTATATAGTGATTTAATTTTTTATATAAAAATATTCAATATTAAATATTCAAATATTAAACATTTTCAATTTTAAAGATTAATTACAGAAACTAGTGAAGTGATGTTAGAGCAAAATCTAACACTTAAACTCACAGGACTAAATAAAAGGGACACACAAATAAAAGATATAAGAATTAAGTTTATTCAGAAAGTTTTATATTAGACTAGTCCTCTCAAGAACACTATACTGAGATTATAGAGAGTAATTCGCCACTAATGGCCTAACAAAAGGTAACAATTCCGATAACTACAAATCCATGCACATGACTATCTTTGACCGACCAAAGCCAACTGCCACATTCAGCATCGGCGTAACGCTCGCCACACACGGCACTATTGCCAACCCAATTTACTAGGGACAAACCCGGCAATTGCGAAATCCCTAAACAATAATTCAAATTACATATGTTCCTAATACTCGGCCATCCTACGCTTTACTTGGTCTCCAAGTAACAAAAATGCTCTGAGATCCATAGTCGTATATAAAAAAAATAAAATAAAAAAAAATTGTTATTATCAATTAAAGTGATCATTCAGTTCACAAAACACACAAAAAAATTACGTTATCAACTCACATCATAAAGAAACAAACACAATTGTAATTCAGCTTAACAAAAAAAATTATTTGGAGTAATTAACTTTCACAGTTGGCTAAATGTACTCCCAATTTTTATACAAAAAATTCGTCGAAGCGTTGTGGTTTCTGACGTATTCTATTGCTACGTCTAACTATGTTCTCGTCTTTATTTATCGAAGAATCGTTCTCATTTATTTTTACAACGTCGTTATGGTTGTCTAGTTCGCTATCGTCTTCCGTCTGGTCCTCACTGTCTTCGTCGCTATCATTGTTTTCATATCCTTTCCAGATTCGGAGTTGACTCACGTGCGCTGTTGTTTTGGTCCGAGACCCACTGCCTTGAGAAGCCAATCCTTGAACACGATAAGTATTCGACGGTAGGATTTGTGTGATTACGAGTGGCCCTTTATTACGGGGCTGTAATTTTGTTGACTGACCTGTGCTTTCTGAATTTTTGTTCATAAATACGATATCGCCTACATTGTATTTTATATTCTTTAACCGGTTTGCGTCGTACCTATCTTTTGACAATCGTTGTTCAGTTTCAATTTTTTCTCGCGCTTCTATCCAGAGTTCTTCTGGAAGACGGTAACTTTCTGAGTTCTCTGTTAATTGCCTAGCAAGACCCTCGCGGAATCGAGGAATATAACCAAAAACCATCTCAAATGGAGTGCGACCGGTGCTTTTGCAAATGGCAGAATTTAAATCACGTTCTAAATCTTTTATTTCTAGGTCCCAGTGATGACCCTCTAAATCCGACAGATTTGACATTAACGCAGGAAGAATGGTTCTATTTAGCCTCTCCACTTGCCTGTTCGCTTGTGGATGGCGACTAGAATTTAAGGTGTGCTTGATACCGTTTTGCTGACAGAATTTTTCAAACTCTTTCGAAGTGAAAGAAGTACCTCGGTCCGTAATGAAACGTTTCGGTGCTCCAAAACGTCCCACAAACTCGTCAATTTTTCGAATAGTTGTCGATGATTTTTCGTCACGAACTGGGAACAAATGCACAAATTTAGTCAAATTACAAATTAGGGCCTAAATGGTCGATATTAACGATCTCGAATGGTCTTGAACCTGGTGGAATGGGGTGGAGTTCACCTGCCTGTTTACCGGATCTCTTTTTAGCTAAGAGGTATTCTACGCACGACTCTATGTGTCGTTTGATATATTTTCGCATACCGGGAAAGTAGTAAAATTGAGCAATACGGTTCATTGTTTTCTCTACACTGAAATGACTGCCAAGGTCATGGTTTTTAATCACGACCGCTTTACGCATGACCTTTGGAATAACATATCGTTCATTATCGTCGATTTTTGTAAACAACAATCCATCGCGTAAAACGAAATCTTTAATTTCGCCAATTTCTCTTCGAGAACGTTCATTTACTGGTTTCTTCAAAATCGAAATTTTTCGCGCTAAATTTTCATCACTATACTGAAACATTAATATTTCGTCTTCTCTTACTGTCACATTAAAAACCGAACCGATATCGAGGTCTTCATCATTCTCGACTGGAGCACGTGACAATGCGTTTACGTGTTTCATCCGCTCTCCTTTGCGATGAAAAATGTCAAAATCAAATTCAGAGATTGAATTTAGCCAACGAATGATTTGGGGATTTTTTGTGCTCATCGTACGAATATAGATTAATGCTTGGCAATCAGTGAAAACCACGAAATGTAATCCTATCAGAAATTGTCTCAGACGATCCATGGCCCAAACAATAGCAGTCAGTTCGAGTTTACTCGAGTGGTACGCTCGCTCTACATCAGAAGTTCGCCTGCTGATCGCATAGACCAAATGTAATTCGCCTGACTCGTTTTTCTGAAAGAGCATCGCGCCCAGCCCGTCCGACGAGGCATCTGTGTAACTCTGTATGTGTCGCTTTTGGGTTATAATATGCTAGAACTGGACGGGACGTCAATAATTGTTTAATTTTTTCAAAGGCTTTAGTTTGTCGTTCTTTCCATGAGAATTTGCCATTGTGTTTAAATAATTCTATTATTGGTGCCATGATCGCCGCGAAATGGGGAATGAACCGCCGAAAATAACTGGCCAACCCGTGAAATCTTCGTGCCTCGTGAAGGTTAATTGGAGTTGGAAACTCCTCGACTGCGCGCAACTTTCGCGTACCGGGGCTCATTCCATTTCCTCCAAAAACAAATCCCAAGTATTCAACCTGATTCAAACCAAATTTGCATTTTTTAAGGTTTAAAGTTAGACCCGCATCTTTAAGTAGAATTAAAACTTTTTCTAATTGGAATTATTGTTTAGGGATTTCGCAATTGCCGGGTTTGTCCCTAGTAAATTGGGTTGGCAATAGTGCCGTGTGTGGCGAGCGTTACGCCGATGCTGAATGTGGCAGTTGGCTTTGGTCGGTCAAAGATAGTCATGTGCATGGATTTGTAGTTATCGGAATTGTTACCTTTTGTTAGGCCATTAGTGGCGAATTACTCTCTATAATCTCAGTATAGTGTTCTTGAGAGGACTAGTCTAATATAAAACTTTCTGAATAAACTTAATTCTTATATCTTTTATTTGTGTGTCCCTTTTATTTAGTCCTGTGAGTTTAAGTGTTAGATTTTGCTCTAACAGAAATTATAAAAAAGTAGTTTTTTATGTTATTATGTAATTAATCTGTTTATTATCTTATATCTTTATTATCTGTTAATTATATCTAGAAAATAAATTGATATATTTAACAGTTTCTATGGGAGTTCGGACAATTAATCAAGATTTCAGTGAATGTTATGAGAACAAATTTTACCGATTCTATTGACAAAGTTTTGCCAATTCTACAAGAAAAACTTTATGATAATGTCAATGACATTAACAAAAAAGTGATTCATCTCTTGACCTATCTGCCGCAGTTATTCAACTTGAACAAGAAGAAGAGTTCGATTTCCATTCTGGAAATGGAATTGAGGGTAATTTTTGTTAACCATATGTTCATTACTATTATTGCTCAATATTTTTTGAAAACTTTAAATTTGTTTGGAATCTAAAAATAATTAGAGATGTACAAAAAGTCCGAAACCTGATCGAGTAATTTTGGGCTATTTACAGACCTTTAAAAATAGTTATTCGGTAAGCACTTTGTTATTATTTAATATTAATTTTTATAGGAGGAGGCACCAACAAAAAATAAATCGCCGAGCCTGATAGCAGCCGATCCAGAGTGCAAGCAAGTAAAATGCTACGTCGATTCTGAGCCATTGCACTGCACCGAACTGTTCAAAGCCGTTTTACTATTGCTAGCGGCGTACTATATTTTTAACATTAATTATGCAAAAGAGCAAAAGCTCACATTTATTTTTTTGGAACACATGATTTTTAGAAGTGATATTGAACGAATTTCGCCAAGGAATTTAAATTTTTTAAGTATATTAAATGTTCTCGACCGAGCAAAATTGACAGACTTTTATAAAATGCCAAAAGCTACAGTTTAAATACCACTACAACAAATAGTTTTCATCTGTTACTTCGAGTTTTTTTCCATTACAACGATGAGTTTTCTTTTGAAAATAAACTGTTTAGGTCAAAAAGATAATCATCATCTATTTTTCTATATGTTATGCGAAAATACAAAGAGTTTTTAATATAACTCAAAATAAAGTATTGGGTCGAAAAAGAGCTATATATAAACAATTTCTTTAATTTAATCATTTTTCCCATTTCTTTTTCATAACTACGATAAATTATGTTCTATTATACTTATGATTGTTAACTTATGAATTTATCAATTATTTGACATACATTCACTTTTCGTGTAAGAATATTGTTAAAAATAATTATGTTGATTTAAATTAAAATAAATTTTACTGAAAGTTGAATTTCTTTGTATCTATTTATTTACATACACAGCTTGAAGATTGAAAATCCAGTTTAATAAAACAATTTAAAAAATTGGAACGTATTTTAGAAAATTCCCAACAATGGGAATTTCGACAATATCTAAAATATTCCTATAAATTGAAAAATTCACCAGATGGCACATTTTCAGAAAAATTGCATTAAATTTTGAATTATTCAAAAAACAAAATAATAATTCAGGTTCTCAATAAGAATAAATAATCTCTATCCCTTGAAATGCTTTTTAATTTCATAAGATTATTTTAAAAATTTAAAAAGTGTTAAAACTTTTTTTAAAGTTACTATTAATTACTAGTAATATCAACGAGTAATTAGATTTTGAAACAAGATTCGCAGGAAATCAAAAAAAATTATAATACAACAAAATTTTTGTTGTAGAAATACAAAAAATATTTAAACAATTGTTTGGTTAAAAAATTTGTTAATAAGTCCTGTCTACTAAAGGAAAATGGTAGCAGAAACGGAAATAAATAATCACGATGATTTCAACAATCAAGTAACTCGCGTATTTACTTTCAAACTTTTTGTTTTGAGAATTTAACATTCTCTCAATAACCTATACTAACAGATGTCAATTAACGTTAAAAAAACAATTAACGTCAAAGTTTTGCAATAAAATGATCCAAATTTTAGATCATTTTGATCTCTTTTTCGAATCAATTTGATCTGTAACGCTTTTTGATACCTCCCAATTTACAATTCAAATTTTATTCTCATATGGGTAGCAAAACATGGGGACAATATGAGCCAAAAATGTGCGAAGGCAATTTTTGCATACTTAACCCCCTATGCCCTTTGAAGAGGGCATAAATCTTTCAGGAGATACACCTTTGTTGATTATTTTTGATCTCTTGAGTTCCGTAGGTTGAGAGTCATTTTGATCATCAATGCTTGAACTCACAGATTCAATTGTATTGTTTTCAGCTTCATCCTCTTCTGTTGTTTCGATGGATTTTTCTTTCGAGATGATCATTTCCGCTTCATCTGCATTCATTAGTTGATGATTTTTGTCGAGCTTATTTTAAAGCTTGATTTAATCTCTGCTTATTTTAATGCGGTCCGTCTTCTTATCCAGAAGTTGAACTGCCTTTGATTATTCAGAGTAGCCGGTTAAAGTAAGTTTCTCTACTTTATTATCTAATTTTCGGTGTAGTTCTTTAGGAATTTGTACATATGCGTCGCATCCAAAATGTACAAATTCTTCAAATCTGGTTTCTTTGAATATATTAAATCACTAGCTAAAAGAAACGCGCGTGGTATCTATAATTTTTTATGAAAAATTAAAAATTTATTTTTATTTGACGAAAAATTATTGGAATTTTGATCTTACAAAATTAATAATGTTATTTTTGAAATCGTTACTTTATTAATGTTTCAACATTATGTGTTATAATAGTATAACAACTAATATTGCAAAGTCAATATGACCTTTAAATTTTGTACTCAAATAAAGATTATATGATACGATCATCGAATTGTTAGCAATATATTTAATTCACCCATCTCAGAATCCATGCAGGGTGAATTCCTATTTTGTTTACCACAAGGCCCATGAACTTAAAATCGCTTTACAATGTTAAAAAGTTCTAGATTCTTTATTTCGTCTGTGATTTCAACACATATCATTTTATTTAAAGTTTCTGAATCGCAAGTTTGTGTACGTAAAAATATAATTAAACGCACATGTGGCAATCCCCGCTTTTTTCTTCTCTATGAAAGACGATACATATAAAATTGTAAATGAATAAAATTACAAGTACCTTGAGTATGGTTAAGGTTAACAGTCCATCCAGGATCACCATAAGGAAACATTGTAGGATATGTCATGAGATCAAAATTTTTACTAACAATAAGACTAGAAATTATTTTCTCATTATTTTCTATTGTGCATACTGAATTTACATGGACATGTAAATCCCTCCTAAATTTCTGTAGATAATTTCTTTATCTTACATGACAAATTTTTTTCTTTGGGTATTTTCTTTTCATTTTCAGTTTCAGTACACAGAACTCTGTTCTCATTTTTACCGGCAAAAGTCTTACAAAAATATGAAAGGTTTAGTCCACCATTTTGAAGTTCTTTAGCTCGATTTATGAAAAGACAATTCCAATCATTCTCTACAAATCGTAATCCTAATATTAGACATTCTAACTGCCGGAAAATGATTAAATTAATTGTTCTCAAAAAATGATTTCAAATGCTTGCTCATTATATTATTATCAGTTTCATAAATTAATCTTTTAATTTACACTGTTAACCAATACAGATGTTGCAAATGCTATTTCATATACTTCACACTTAACTGTACCAATCGGTTGTTGATTAAGAGCTTCAAAAACTACTGTTGGTTAAAAAGGGAACAATCTAATTAAATATTCTACTTGGAAGAACATTCAAAACACTCTGCATTAAGACTTTCAAAAATATAAAGTTTTATTCCATCGTAATAGACACAAATCCAATAACCAAAATCGTATTACCACTAAAAACTATTTGAATATGTTTAACTTCTTCTTTAATTGAAAAAATTAAATGAAGCATTTGTAAATACAAAGTACTTTGCATAATGAAAAAATAATTTGTATCTTTTCTCAATCATTTTTAAAATTTATACATACGCATATAATTTAAAATTTCATTTACATATTCAATAATTTTTAAATCTTTATTACTTCGACATGGAAACCTTCTTCAAATTTCAAGCTTCTAGTAAAGACACTTTTCAAAACAAATCTTCCATTTCATTTTGCTGCTTTAAAAAATTTATTTGGGTGATTCTCTCAAAAAGGACTAATGACGGTTTTACCGTAATCTGTACAAAAATAATAAAATTGATTGAAATTATTAAAAATTCTGTAAGCCATATGTTAAGTTTTAACAATTTTCAATCGAATCACTAAAGAAAAAAATTTGTCAAGTGGGAGTTACACTTGCTTACCTAGGGTTCCGTTCACGATTATTTAAATATTTATATATGTTTAAATAAAATAATTTTCCTGTAATTTTCTTTCAATTTGCTTGTAAATATGTATATACATATGTGCAAAGTTTAAGATGGTTCGCTAAAAAGTTGATAAAGTTAAGATAAAAAGGAATTTTGAGCTTTTTTCAGGAATTTTAAGTTTTTGTGGCAAACCAATATTTAAGTCAATTTCAAAAAAGTTAGCTATATTTTTCGTAAAATCTACACGTAAAATTAAATGTGTCCCAAGGTTCAGCTTATTAGCTTCAAAACTGTAAAAGTTAAGGGGGGATACGATTTTCCGAAATTTCTACGACGAGTTTGACATACGTGTCAAATTGTTTTCAAAAAACTACTAAACTGCCAAGTTTCAGAAAAATCGGCGTATGGCACTTCCCTAGTGTTACTTGTCAGCAACTTAGAAAACCTGTAGATACCAAATTTCATAATAATCTGACAATTTTTAAAAAATAATTCCTTAATATTGAATCAGACATATCGAATTTCGGAAATCTGACATCAGATTCGTAATCAGCGACCCAAAAAAACCCTAGATACCAAGTTTGAAGTAAATCTTAAAATTTTTTCAAAATTCATCCACCATATTGGATCCGCAATTTTGGATTTTGAAAATCTAACTTCAGATTCGTAATCAGCGACACAAAAAACCCCCAGATACCAAGTTTGAAGTTAATACATCAATTTTTAAAAAAATCGCTTACTTCTCAAAATCCGACAAGTTTTTTGAGGTTAGAAAAAAATCCTGACGTGATGGAGCAAAACGGACTTCGGATTCGTGTTCAGAGCGTCAAAATACATAGGGTTAGGGTATTCCGGTCAAAAGTACATGACACTTGTTTTTTTTGTGGGGCTGTGTAGTTAATATTTTTTTCCAATATCAAAATATATTCAATACCAATTTTATCCTCAAAATCCAAATACCCTTATTGCCAATGTTGGCCAACACAGTAAAAAAAATAATTGGGAGTAAGCGAAAAGAATTGGTGTTAACTTAAGCTGAATTCGGTTTGGCGAAAAAACTGATTTGGAACGTTACGGTGAATTATTTTTTTCTTACCGTGAATTCTTTTCTGTTGAACATTTGAATTGACGTTTGTTTATTTTAGTTTGCATTATAAATGAATAGAATAAATGTTTTAAAGTGCAAAAAAGCCGATTTGGAATAAGAAATATATAATTTTTTAAAACGAAATAAAAGCGAAGTGTGACAGATCCACCGAAAATTTTATCAAGTGTGTAGTGTTCATATGATAAATTTACCATATGAGTACTACTCACATGTTAAAATTGTCGGTAAATCTGTCACATTTCTATGGTGACGGTATTTAGCATATCGTCATAATATTTATTAAAGATTCGCCACGCTACATTGTAATTCGCGTCTGTAGTTTCACTTGACTCGATTTTGTCGGCAGCCTTGCCTGACAAACATGAACGCAAATAAATAAGCTTTTGTGAATCAGTATATCTTTTATCATTATGAACTGAGGATTTAAATGTATCGCAAAAACTTGGCCATTTTTCATACGAGCCACTAAAGGTAGGCAAATTTAGAACTGGAAGTTTTCCATTGATATGATTATCAATTACAGCTGATTAAAAACATTGAAC